GGTAAACCAATACACTGATAGATTACAAACACTAAAAGTGTGTAACACTTTGCACTATTTAGTAGTAAATAGTGCTAATTAAACAATAAAAAACAATAGGATTAGCATAATTTAGCAGTATTTATGTTATACATTAATAGTGTTTGTACTCTACAACACACCGATATACACTGATACAACATCACAACAACACATTACTTGTTGCACACGCAACACTAACATACTGATACAACAGCATACCAACACATTGATGCAACAACGCACTACTGATACAGTCAATTCAAAAAACGTTGTCGTCGACCAACTCAAGCCTACGCGACTGGACCGAAAGGAACTCTGGGTAGTAATCATTGAAGCCGAGTTGACTCCATAATTTTATCTGACTAGTTATGCCTGGTTTAAAGCACGAACCTTCGTAGGCGTACAGGAAGTGTTTAAGAAGACGTTTTTTTAATGCYTTCATATTTTCGGAATTGTGAACTGAATCATAACTACTTTATTTTTCTTTCCCTAAACCCGAAGACATGCATTTGACGGATTGAATTGTTTCTCTCCATTATTATCTTTACTACTAGCGGGAACAATTAATTCAGAACGAATATTTAACCGCTTCAGTGAATTTTACCCATATTTCTTTCGGTCCAGTCGCGTAGGCTTGAGCCGGTCGACCACAACGTTTTTTGAATYGACTGTATACCAATACACTATGTAATACGATGACCTGATACAACACACCAATATGCCTTTTCCGCATGTGCATTAAAGAAAAATTGGTTTTCATTGATATATCTTTCATAAATGCACCATTTTACATTAAAAAATACAAATAGACACAAGTTACATTAGGGAACGAACTCAGGTTACAAAAGGGAGCTCCGGGTTACATTAGGAAACTTCAGGTTACATTAGGGAGCATGCTCCCTTTTGTAACCTAACTCAGGTTACAATAGGGAACGAGGTTACAAAAAGGAGCAGTGCTTGTTACAATTGGGAACAAAAAATTTATCTATCTGTCTGTCTGTCTATCTATCTAATAATAATAATTGAAAAACCCCAGTTTACAATTGAATTAATAGTTTAATAATTTGTTGTATTTACATAAAATCTAGTCAACTACTAGGTATATAACAATTTATAATTGAATTAAGGTGACGTATCCCATAACCTTATTGCATACATAATGGTTGGAAGAGATAACTAGTTTTAAAAAAACTAGTGTGAGCCACGTCGGTGTTTCTAATTAACAGTAATGATAAAAGYGTAAATTTCACACAGTGAAAAAGTGGTTGTTATGTTGTTATGGAGTACTAGTAACAAAAGTGTTGTTTTCAATAAGAGTTTAGAAAAGGAGTTTGTGTATMTTTCAAAGATTTACTTTACAAAATTAATCTAAGGTGGGTGGCCTACTACGCCATGGAACAGGCATTGAGCTGAGGATGAGCACGCGCATAAAAACCGCGGATTACTTTTCAAACTTTTAATGAATCATGCACGTGTTGAGCTTCAAGTTGGCAAAACCCTAAACTTTTTCACAAGACTATTATTTTTTGAGTTTCTAAGAGAATACATAAAAAAGAAACTTTTGACAAAGTTTGACATTGGAAAAAATTGCCCATACATTTGGAATATTTGCTTTTTTCGGACTTTTTTCCTTTCTTTCCAAAGCAAAAGGTTGTTCTTAAAACTAAGTAAAGTTATGTTATGAGAGAGAAAATTAATGTTTTTACAGACAAAGCTAGACATCAGTTTTCTAATTRCTATTTCTTATCGTATGAAAACAAGATAAAGAACGATCAATTAGTTATTGAAAATATCGATATAAGATTTCAGTAAGGCTACCATCACGCACAAGTTTAGATGACGGTATGCTTTGAATTTACAAGTAAACCATTTAGCTCCTTCCATTAGCATGTACACCTCTGATTACACCCTAAATACTCTTTACCCCTTGGCTTAGTTATTTTAGCAMTATTCTTTTAAATCTTATGATATAAATATCCCTCGTACACCTTTCTATACATTTACCATATATTCACATATTATCTTTAGTTTAAGCTATGTTTAGTTCTATGATTTTCACTCGTATTATTCTTTAATAAGATATCACACTTAGGAATTTACTATTGCCATTAGCCAATATATGGGCTCATATGAGGGGGCGTGAGCTTGAAATCGTAGCTGACCAAATGTTAACAGAATTTTTCTGATGAAAAATGACATGGGCTTAAATCAGAAAAAAAGGCAAGTCTACATTTTTGCACTCGTTTAGACAAAGCGGGGGTTCAAAATGGTGATTAAGAAATRTTTTCATGGATTTACCTATAGTAGGCATCCACTGCCTTCAAACAATTGTTTCAAGTCGAGGCATTTGGGTCAATACAATGAAATGTATAGAAACTGACCCAAATGTAACAATTGTCTGGAGGCAATAGAGTGTAACTCCGATATATGCTATTCAAAAGTTCTTAACTCTCAGAAAATTTTGAGCAACATATCCATCAGGAGCGGTTGTGGTCAAACCATGACTTTGTATTTAGCAGTCGTGAATCTAGAAATAACAGAGTCTCTCAATATAGGGTCAATTATTAATTTTAAGTTACTGGTGATAATTGATTCAGCACTGTGATCTGTAGAGCTATCAGCTTGTGAGACTTGAGCAAACATTTGAGCATCGCGTAGAAACTGCTCCATTCGTTCAGGGTCTCCTGTCGGCTCAGGATTGTCACTTGCATAGTCGTCAAAGCTGTTCGCCTGTAGCACAGATGTAACTATGATGGTTCTATTGTCACRTTCATCTTTTTGTAAAACTGTGTTGCGTAAATGAAAACTTTGTTGGATAGCATCTGTGTCTGTATCGGTGATATATATCATATTGTTGGTTAGAAGTAACGCACCACTGTAGTCGTGTCCAACAGTATTAACCACAGTAACGTCTACACACAAAATGTTTGCATTTGTTTTCAGTTGCAGCACTTTCCTGATGAAAAAAGAAAGTTCAACATTTTTATAAAGTATTAAGCATCAATGATAGATAGAAAAGGACAATACTGATACATTCCTTATGTTGCTGAAGTTATTAATTTTCTGCTTTTATGACAAACTATATATTATAATTTACTAGAGAATAACTTATAATCATTGTGATTTTACTGTGTGGACACACTAACCAGGAACCCTCGAAGAACGTTAACCAATCACGACAAAGAGAAGAATGAAGAATGCTGCGAGACTGATATTTTTATGGTAGGACCGAGCGTTCATAATTTATCTAGCTAATGATAAATGCTTAAAAGCGCGCTAGCTTCTAATGTTTTTATGTTATGCATTAATCGATCACTTTTCGAATTTAGTTTGAAATAAATAGAAGTATTATCTATTCTTTTCTTGAGAGTATATGTCGTTGTTCTTTAGACATATGTTGAAGATCCATAATTTGTGAAACGATTAAAGTGCCACTCTGACGAAAATCGCTCAAACTTGGATTCAGCTGAAACTTCCTCAGAATACTCTTTAAAGGACCAATAATCCTGTATGAAGTGTTTTCTCAATATTCAGGACGAAAGTATGATATTTTTACGATTATTTTTTGGAGTCTGTGACGTCATACACTCAACATCGAACATCATACATTTCTTTGTATATAAATCCTTAGTTTATTTCATTCCTATGAAACCCATAGGGTGACTAATGTGCTTATTTCACATTACTTGTGACTATAATTTATATTTTGGGGTGTTTGGGTATTTCTTTCTCCCTTTACTACTGATATTTTGATCATAAACTACAAAGAAATGTATGGAGCGATTTTCGTCAGAGTAGCACTTTACCTTTGGGGGTGAGGGGTGGGGGTATAATACTCGGGTACAACTCGTGCAACTCTTACGCTTCTTTCGTGCTTAGCAGCCTCATGCGTGTACCCAAAATTCTATGGAATCACGCTAATCAGGCAATCCTTTATAAGGTAATTGTACTTTTTTCTAGCTGAATGTTCGAGGGCTTCGTTCTCTTAACAAATCGATATTCATGTGGTTCAAGAAAAAGAAAGAGGACATTTTTGTCTACAAGAAATATATAGTTACCCTGCGAGTCTCCTTTCGTCTTCTCGCCCGTAGAGGAGTTAAAAGGAGACTCTGCTCGCAGGGTAATATATAGTACTTCTGAAATTGAAATATTTGGAATTTCTCTAAAAAATGAATGCTCCTTTAGATGTCTTATTTTTCATTACGCTCATTAACTACCGGGAGGCGATTCAGTGAAATAATCCGATATATTTTTGTTCGGGCGAAGAGCACTTTGTTTTTCTTTTTTGTCTAAAGTGGGTAATCTGAAAGTAACCTTACCATGAATATTTCAAGAGGCTGTTCCTGGATTCAATTACCAGGCCATCCTCCACGGTGTGAAGTCGGGATGGAAGATGACTTAAACCAGCTTCCAATAAAATTCCCTGTCCGGTTTGAGAAACAAGCTCCATGGCGCCTCCAATAGGTTTGGTTACTACACCTAAGAGGCCTCTGCCTACTCCTGTGAGAGCCCCGTATGCTGCTTCTTTAACATCATTGGCTCGTTGTATACCCTGGATTGGCTGATCAACTACTCCTGCTACCGCACCTAGAAGGCTAAGTCCAAAACCACTGAGCCCTTGCGTAACACCTATTGAACAAAATAAAAGTATATAAAAGATGTCTATATGGGACATATTCATTTCCCTGAGGATGGCCGAGTAGGCCGAAAGCTYGTAACATGTATTAAATCTATGGTTGATAAGACAAATTATCATGAATATTCTATATATATATTAAACTAGAGACGACTTATTCTATTTCTTGATCCAACCAGGACATATTCTGTCTTAGCTATATTGAGGCTTAGTTTATTCGCTACAAGCCACTTATTAATACTGTTCAGATCGTGGTTCAAAATGATTTGTTTCGTTTATGGACTTATTTGGTGCACTTATTTGGAATTCAATTGATGATACATTAAAACAGCTGAGCTTAAGAACTTTCTCTAAGAAACTTAAAGCCTCTTTTCTTTCTACTTATTCTACTTCAGATCCTGTTTAATAAATATCTTTCTCTCTCTGTATGTGAATGTATAGTGTGTGCTTTTCATTTTCTTTTGTTTAATGTGTGTGTGTTGTGTGCATACATAGGATTTAGATCATGTAAATAGTAATACAGTACGTATAAATATAATTTAATAATCATAAATATATATAATAATGTATATATAGATACCTATCGATAATGTAATCTTTATATTTTAGTCTTCTGYTTCCACCCATTATTCATTGTAATTTCAGATATTTGTGTTACCTAGCTCGTTTAGCTTTATAGTTATTCTAGGTAACCTCTACCATTCTTTTGTAAATGTACATATATCTATATTTTTCTCTATTGTAATCTTTGGTATAAATAAAGCACATTGTATTGTATTGTATTGTAAGATAAAGAATGCATGTTCAATAACATAGTGCGGCAATAAAACGCAATTTCCCTTGAACTTTACGTACAAATTCTTACAAAAACAAATGGCAACACAGACCTAACCAATTCGCCGATACTACTTGTTCAGCCCTTGGTAGAGAAGCGAGGAATTTGACTGAAATATCGAATATGCTACTCGATTCTCATACATTTATACTATTGCGGAGACCGGAGACCGCTGAGAATATTCAGTGAAATGAGTAGGGTCCTGGTACGAGAATAAATTTTTGTCAGATTAACCCAGCATACGATTTATTGGTTTTGTTTGATGAGTGTCGAATGTCATAATATACCGGGCCACTCGTTCTTCAATGAAATTCAAAAAGCCATCAAGTAGGCGTTTAAAAGGATTTTTGCCAATATTTTTGTTCTGAAACTTTGCTTGGAAATTATGTAATGGACATWTAAAAACTGTAACAAAAAGAAGGGGTCGCGCTAGATGCCCTTCAAATATACACCTGTTTCAATAAACGTTGTCGTCGCCAAAGGTTATAGGCGATAGGTCGTTCCGACATGGAAATGGTTTTGTTGAATAGATAGAACATTGAACCAGTCTCAACACTAAGGTCAATGCTCTTGACGAAAATAAGAAGAAGAAACAAAAGTCATCCCAGCTATTCTTGGACCTTGGAATGACTTATCTCCTATGGCTTTTCGCCTATCATCTATTACCTATCGCCTTTACTTTGGCGATGACGTTTATTAAAATAGGTGTGTCAATAGACTTTATTCATGTGTGACAATGTTTTCCCAATAGACGACTTGCACTAAGAGATCACGTGATCAAATCGGCCATTGTGGCTGGCATTCTACAGGATTTTAGCTATGCGAGAATGTAAAAAAAGWTGGCGGATTCGGGTAGTTTTTTTGGTGACGAAAGGTAAGTTAGCGCACTAAATAACTATAAAAATCCCCTTTTCTCGCTAGAAATATATTTTTAGTAGATATCTGAAGTAGATTTTTGCTATTAACTAGCCAAGAAGAGAAAAAAATATGGTATTTTTGCGATAGGATGTGAAGACCTACGAAGTGTTTAGTCTCGTTTTGCTGGCTTCATGACCTCAAAACATGCAATATTTTCCCTCTTCCTGGCGAATGAATAGCAAAATCCTACTTAAAATATCAATTAAAAGTATCTTTCTTGCAAGAAAATGCCGTTTTCAAGAATGAAATTGAAATATACTTGAAAAGTTTTGACAAGAAGTCATTGTTTTAAGGTCATGAAGCCGGCAAAACAAGACTAAGCACTTCATAGGTTTTCACATCCTATCGCAAAAAATACCTTTTGTTTTCTCTTCTTGGCTAGYTAATAGCAGAAATCTACTTTATATATCTACTAAAAGTATATTTCTTGCAAGAAAAGGGGATTTTTATAGTTATTTAGTGCGCTAACTTACCTTTTGTCACCAAAAAACAACCAGAATCCGCCATCTTTTTTTACATTCTCGCATAGCTAAAATTCTGTAAAATGCCAGCCACAATGGCGGATTTGATCACGTGACCTCTTAGTGCAAGTCGTCTATTCAGCCTGACAAACCTCTGGGGGAATGAAGAGCTATTGTTTTGAAACTTGTCGGGATATCATCGTTATTCCTTTCGTATCCTTTGGGATAAAAATTTTCGAAGAGTAAAAACAAAAGAAAATGAATGCCCTGGAGGTTCGTCACGCTGAATTGGGAAAATATTGTCACACCACGAATAAGGTCTATTTATGGGTTCAATAGCGAAATTTGGTGGCAACTCTAAGTTGTAATTACTGAAAACCTTTACTCGCGGTTCAAAGTACTTCTTCGCAACAAAGCGTACATATGATTCGAAGTTTACTAGTTAAGCTATACTACTAAATCTATCAGAGTAACTGGATGACTTATTGTTGAATTACTAATGAAACATGAAAGTTCGCCTCTTCGAAAATATCGCAAGCTTCAACTAATTAAATCAAAAACTTAGAAAATCTAGCCAATAATCTTTCCTTCACATTTTAATACCGTAAATCCTCTATTTAGCCCCCCGGGGGCTTATTTATTTCAGGCTCGTTTGAGGGAGGGCTTGTTGGAGAGGGGGGGCTTAATTGAGAGGGGGGGGGCTTATTGATTTAGTCAAAACGCAGTATGTAATATGATTGTACTCAGGATTAAACGGAAGCATTACTATTGACCGTCTCGCATAATCCGTAGTGATATACATGGAATTTTTATTATTTGATTCACCTGTGTTAGGCCCCGTCCACACTATGCCAGATAAATTTGAATCCGAATTTTTATTTATTCGGTTAGGCCTACCGTCCACACTAGTCCGGGTGAATCCGGAACAATTCTTCACCGAAAACGAATTTTCGAAATGCAAACGAATAACTAAAAATTCGGATTCAAATTTATCCGGCATAGTGTGGACGGGGCCT